TCCAGGGGTTCATCAATCAGCCTACAATGGAGCTTGTAAGGGGAAGGGACCTTCGGTCTTTCATACAGGAGAAAAAGAGGAGTTGTGCACACCTACAGGCAAACTCCACTAAAGACCTTAAAGGGAACATTCCAGAGTTGGTAGAACAGGTCCTGCAGCAATTTCCTCAAATATTTGCTACCCCCGCAGGATTACCTCCTGAAAGAGAGCTAGATCACCAAATCATTCTCAAACCAGGAGCAGAGCCATTTAAACTCAAACCTTACAGGTACCCTCACTCACATAAAGCAGAAATTGAGAAGCAGGTTGCAGAAATGCTTACGAATGGGATTGTTAAACACAGTACCAGTCCTTTTGCTTCCCCTGGCTTGTCGGTGAGGAAAAAAGATAATACCTGGAGACTATGTGTAGATTACAGAAAACTAAATGAAGTGACTGTCAAGGATAGGTTTCCCATTCCCAACATTGATGAGCTGTTAGATGAGTTGCATGGCACTAAGTATATGTCTAAGTTGGACCTCAGGGCAGGATACCATCAGTTGAGGGTCAAGTTGGCAGACACTCATAAGACTGCATTTCAGACACACCATGGACACTTTGAATTTCTGGTGATGCCTTTTGGCCTCACAAATGCCCCAGCCACATTTCAGGCCTTGATGAACCGAATCTTTCAGCCATTCCTGCGGAAGTTTGTATTAGTTTTCTTTGACGATATACTGGTCTATAGTCCCACTCTAGAGTCACATGCACAGCACCTGAAAATTGTACTCCAGGTCCTAGCTGATAATCAGTTATATTGCAAGAAGTCAAAATGTTCTTTTGCTCAGACATCTATGGATTACTTGAGGCATGTGATTTCTGAGGTTGGGGTCAGCATGGATCCAGAAAAGGTGGAGTGTATCCTGTCATGGCCAACCCCCAACTCAGTTAAGGAACTCAGGGGCTTCTTGGGGCTGACTGGATACTACAGACGGTTTATAAAGGGAAATGGCATGATCTACAAACCTTTGACTCAGTTATTGAAGAAGGAGAACTTTGGGTGGAACCACCATGCTCAGATGGCTTTTGAAGACCTCAAGAGAGCCATGACCACAGCTCCAGTACTGAGCATGCCAGATTTTGATGTTCCTTTTATAATAGAGACGGATGCTTGTGGAGTGGGGATTGGAACAGTATTGATGCAACAGGGTCACCCTATAGCATTCCTCAGCAAAGCTTTATCTAGCCAGAACTTGGGGTTATCTGTGTATGAGAATGAGTTATTTGCCTTGGTGCTAGCTGTAACCAAATGGAAACATTACTTGGTAGGTCACCATTTTGTCATCAAGACTGACCACCAGGCCCTCAAACACTTGATGGAGCAGAAGCTCACCCACCTACTGCAACACAAATGGCTCACCAAGTTATTAGGGTTGGATTATGAAATCCAATACAAGAAGGGAGCTAACAATGGGGTGGCAGATGCTTTCTCAAGGAGGAGATTTGAAGGACCTTATGAGGACATGCAGCAGGCCAGGCTGTGTGTGTGATCTCCACAGTACAACCAGCATGGATGCAGGAGTTGGTGGGAAGCTATGAAGGAGATATTGAAGCTCAGCAGAAGATAGCTCAGCTCCTATTAGATCCCAATGCAGTCACAGACTTCCAATTGGATAAAGGAATGCTTAAATTTAAGGACAAACTATATGTGGGAGCTGCCAACAATATTCGCAGCAAGGTGATCAAGGCCTTGCACGATTCAGCAGTGGGTGAACATTCTGGCCAGAGGGGGTGCCTGCGCAGGATACAATCTCTTTTCTACTGGCCTGGAATCAAGCAGGATGTTGTCACATTTGTCAGATCTTGTGATGTGTGCCAAAGGAGCAAACATGAGAATGTTCCCTATCCTGGGCTTCTGCAACATATTCCAGTTCCACAACAGGCTTGGTCACACATCTCAATGGACTTCATTGAATAGCTGCCCGTATCTCATGGTTTTGACACTATTTTGGTAGTGGTTGATTGCTTGACAAAGTTTAGTCACTTCATACGTCTTACGCACCCTTTCTCTGCACAGCAAATAGCTCAAGTCTTCCTTGACCAGGTGTATAGGCTACATGGTTTACCAGAATCTGTAATTTTTGATAGGGACAGGATTTTTGTAAGCAAATTTTGGCAGGAGTTGTTTCATTTGCTGGGGGTTGGCTTACACTACAGCTCATCATATCATCCTCAATCTAATGGTCAAAGTGAGCGAGTGAATCAATGTTTGGAAAACTACCTTAGATGCATGTGCAGTGAACACCCCTCGCATTGGAGTAACTGGCTACCCACAGCTGAGCTTTGGTACAACACCAATTTCCACACCAGTCTATAAATCTCTCCATTTGAGGCGTTATATGGATACAAGCCCAGCCACATTCCTTTGGGACCCTTCCATGACAGTGTTATACCAGCTGCAGTTAACTTGGTGCAAGATAGGCTCAAGGTCATATCACTCATTAAGGAGAATTTGACAAAGGCACAAAGTCGCATGAAAAGCTTTGCTGACAGGCACAAGACTGAACGTACACTTCAAGTGGGGGATTGGGTGTTTCTCAAACTGCAACCCTATAGGCAACAAACAGTGGCTATTCGGAAGAGCTTAAAACTCACAACAAAATATTATGGACCGTTCCAGATCATTGCTAAGGTGGGGGCAGTGGCCTACAAGTTGCAGTTACCTGCTGGAGCTAGGATCCATCCTGTATTTCATGTTTCTCTGTTAAAGAAGAAGATTGGGAATGCTCAGAGCACTGATCCTGTATTGCCTGCATGGGACTCGTCTGATCAATGCTCACTCCAACCTGAGAAGATCTTGAGAAGCAGAGCTACATGCGTAACTCCTAAGTAGTCATCCAGTACCTGGTGAAGTGGGATCAGCTGCCCAAATCAGAATCATCGTGGGAAGACAAGGACTTCATCGACAAACAATTTCCAGACTTCCAAGCTTGAGGACAAGCTTTGCTTAAGGGGGAGAAATTGTCAGGAACTCAGCATAATAGCCATTGTAGTTTTATTCATAGTTACTAGCGTTTGGTATACATAGGGTACAGACCCAAGAAACGATGTCGTCTCACTAGGAGTTAGTTAGTATTCATTGAGTCGGTTGGGGCATAATTGCATAAATACCCCCACGTGATTGTAACCGAGTCAGTTAAGATCATTTTTGTCTGAATACTCCCATTTCCAATTCTTCCTTTCTTTCTGTTAATCCTCTTCTCTCTCCCTATCTTCTTTCTCCATCTTTCCTCTGCTAACTATCCGACCACCATTGAGGCACCATTGAGGTGGTGCAAGTTTAGAGCCTGACATATTCTACATACGGATAGAGATAATGTTGTAAATAATGCGCATGCTCTTTTTATTGCCAATGTGCATGTATTTGGGTTTGTTTACGTATATCTTTCCTACTCCAAGGAACAATTTTTATGTAAAATAGTACATAAAATTTTGGAGGCGTATGGCCAACCGAGGAGTTGGAAACACAAAAAAAAAAAAAATTTAATAGTGCTATAATATAAATCAATCTCTCAATTTAATTCTGACTTTTATTTCTAAATTTTAGACACATACACCCACCCCTAAAAAGTGAATATTGTTGCAAAACTTAATATCTCAAGTGTGCGTTATAATATAAATCAAAGCCATCAAAGTCAATTGACCCATTTAGAATTATTTTTCCCCAAATCTCTTCTCTTTCCCCACCCATTTTTTTTCCAAATTTTTCATTTTGTTTACTACTTTTGTAATAATAATAATAATAATAATTATTATTATTATTATTTGTTTGTTTTATCTTATCATTTTATTTTCTTTTAGTTTGTTAACTTTCTCATTTTTCAGTATTACCAATTTATGATAAGTTTTAGCCTATTTTCCTACCTTTTCAAAATGAAATTTTAAATTTACACATGAAAAAAATGTTAGGGGTTCAAAATTTTTGGATAAAATTTTTATGTTAACTTTTATAGTACTTAGTTCAAATTTTTATATTCTTATTATTCAACTATTAAATACTATGTAATTTTACGACATAGAGTATAGATAGGGAAAAAAAATTGGTAATTAGGCTTATTGAACATTGCAAGTAAATATTTAAAACTAATGATGAGTGCAAATGATAGTATAAATTGATAACTTAGTTTGCAAAAATAAATTTAAATGAGTTTACAAAAAGTTTAAATAAATGAGTTATAAATGGGTAAGTGAATTATCCATTTATACCCATTTAATTAGATGGGTATAAATGGATTGACTCACTTATATCCATTACCCATTCTACCCAATTCAAACCGGTCCAAGTCACCCACCTCTACTTATGAGTACGTGCCACGATCAACTACTTCACTGAAGCAGCGAATTAAGCTCCACTTGACATTATTATTGTCTAACTGGAAAGTCCCGTCCCACGCATGAAGTCCCGTTGTTGGCGATGTTGAGAGGAGAGAAAAGTCTACCACTAAATGTTATGGTCCAATATCGACTGGTCAACAAAATTGCCAACGTCCTTTACACGGTAGTTGACATGTCACATGTTGGAATTTATCGGTTAAGAATTATTAACAGCAGCCTGCAGAATATATCCACATCAAAGGCTAGCTAGAAAATAGATGATTAGTACGTTCAGAATTTCTTTGAGTTAGACTAGTAGTACCCTATCGTGTACAAATATATATATATACACATACATATATACCGATCTTGTAGATCTATCAGTCCAAATTTTGCCACATCTTTAAATACTTGAGTTGGTAAAATGATGTGTTAAATTTTGAACCACCAAACCTATACACACTTGATCTACCTAAGTGTTTGCTCTAGACTACAGTCGTATTCATTCCCAAAGTCACCCAACAGGAGAAGTCAACTCAGAGGAAGGGAAATTTATTTTTAAAAAGAAAAAAAAGAGAGAAAGAGAGGGACAAAGTGGAAATTGACCAAAATTCAGCGAAAAGGTTTTTTAAGGCAAAGTTTGGATAACTGAGAGAGGTAAATGCTAAAATGTATTACACGCGGTCACATAATTCCAAAACAATGACTATATATAGAGGTTGCAACAGAATGGAGGAATGAGAGAATATCGCCGATTAGGACTATTGATTGATCATATAGGTCGGTCGATATGAAGAAACACTACTTTTACTTGTTCCCTCTTGCAGTACCTGTTTTGCTGCACCATCTAATGATGACCGGCTGCACAGCCATGAAAAGATTAAGTTTAGGCACTGATCAATCTGCTCTTTTAGCCCTGAACGCCCGTATCACTTCAGAACAGCATGAATTCTTGCCAAAAAACTGGTCTTCTGCAGCTGCTGCATCCTCTGTCTGTGACTGGATAGGAGTCCAGTGCGGCTCTCGACACCAAAGAGTGACTGCTTTAAATATTTCAAACATGGGACTCACCGGCACAATACCTTCGGATTTGGGAAACCTCTCCTTTCTTGTTTCTCTTGATCTGAGAAATAACTCCTTCCACGGAAATCTGCCCGAAGAGTTGTCACACCTGCGCCGCCTGAGGTTCGTCAGGTTAACCACTAACAACTTCACTGGAGAGATTCCAATGTGGTTTGGTCACTTCCCAGAACTCCAGTTCTTGTTTCTGGACAGCAATGGCTTTAGTGGTTTTATTCGTCCTCCTATCTCTAACTTATCAAAACTGGAAACCTTAAATCTAAGAGACAATTTCCTGGGAGGTAATATTCCAGAAAAGATGGGAAATCTTTCGGTCCTCAGAGAGCTGTATCTATCTGGGGATGACTTAGTTGGTCAGATACCATTGAGTTTATGCAAGTTTTCTCATCTTCAGGTGCTAGACTTGTCTAACAACAGGTTTAGCGGGCACATACCTAAAGAAATTGGAAATCTGGAGAAGCTTACGTATTTATCCCTCATGAATAACAACTTCACAGGTAATACTTTTGCTTGGCCTTTTTGCGTGCGAACGAGGCCAAACTGCAATTAATGGCTATTTTTCCCTGTTTGGCACTGGGATTCAATACTATTTACTGTTTTACCAGCATGGCTTGGATGGCTTTTTTTTTAATTACTATTGCAACACCTCTGCTTGTTTATTCCAGAAAATCAAAAGCATAATTACCAACACAAATTTCCGCTTGCATCTCGACCAAGTAAGACAGTTCTCAATATATCTTTGAAATGAATATGATTAGTTCTGTCTTTGCGTAAAATTGCTAGGCATAATTCCCCGAGAGATTGGCAAACTACATGGTTTGACAGGTAATCAGGTTTATGAATAGCTTCACCACTAGCAAATATTTGGAGTAAGTTTCGGGTCAAATGAATTCGTATCATGTCTATTTGAATGTCCATAAACTTCATCAGATACTCCTACTTACTATGGAAAACATCCACCAAAAAAAAAAAACTTAGAAATTCCTTAAGAGCTATATATTCCTTGGATGTAACTAAAGGTATTAACAACAGCCTAATTATGTTGATTTGTCCAAATTTGCCTGCGAATAACCCGCCCAATAATTTTGAATGATTTAAATGGGTATCCAACTAAACCCATCTAATTGGTAGATAATGGGTTGACTTGACTCATTCATTTATACTCATTTAAAAATAATTATACATTTCAACTCAACTTTTAGTGAGTGTTAAGCAAATAAATTTGAATTTCCTACGAATCAAATAACAATAAAATACCGTTATTTTTTTGTCAAACAACATGCAAAAAAAGAGTAGAATTTTAACTGAATCATAAATGGATAATTGTGTATACCCAGACCCATTTATTTAATGGATATAAATCTGCTAGCCTACTTGCGTTTGTGATTGGCAGGTACGATTCCACGAGAGATAAGCAATCTGCAAAACCTGCAGGGGCTCAATCTGGAATGGAATCAAATCACAGGAAGCATTCCAAAAGAAATTGGGAATTTGACGATGCTTACTGAGCTCTACTTCGCCAACAACTCCTTGACAGGTAAATACGTCTTTAAAGTACCATTTTTTGGTGAAGTAAATTGAACTCGGTTAACTAAACACTTACATCCATTCGATTTTTTTTTATTTATATTCCTTCCGTCCCATATATTTAATTCCGTTTGGGGATATGTACTTTTTATATATAGTAAACTCCACCAAAAAGTTTTTCCTTTTATTCCACTTTTGCCCATAATCATGTGCCGATCAAAGTAAAACATAGAAAGTAATCCCATCACATTTGTCTTTATACATCATTAATGAAAGGTACAAGGCAAATTTCAGAGTATAAAGTAGTTACAAATGTCAAACATAACAAATATTTTGGGACAACTAAAAAAAGAAGTACGACAGCTTTCAATTATGGTACGGAGGAAGTAATTGGTTTCTCGAGAGAATTTTACGGCCTAATGATAGATGTGCTTCCTTTGAAAATGAATCTGGCACGTAGGTACAATACCACCAGAGATGGGTAACCTTTACCAACTCGAGAATCTTCAGTTACCTTATAATGGCTTGAATGGCTCCATTCCCCCTGGGCTCTTCAACCTCTCAGCATTGCGGAATATTGCACTTTCATTTAATCTTCTATCAGGAAATCTTCCGCGGGATCTAGGATACAGACTGCCCAAGTTATTATTCATGGAGCTTGCTGGGAATAACCTTGGTGGAGTTATACCAGTTTCCATCACAAATTGTTCCCAATTAGAAATTCTAGAATTTTCAATTAACCGATTCAATGGTTCCATTCCTGACGCCCTCGGGCACCTTAGACTGCTGCAATATCTAATTCTGCACAGCAACAATTTAACAAGCGATCCTACATCTATGGAGCTGAGCTTCATCAGTTCATTGACAAAATGCAAAAACTTGGTTTATTTAGACCTGGGCCCAAATCCGTTAAATGGGCTTCTTCCAGCTTCCATTGGGAATCTCTCTGCTACTCTACAGGAATTGTATATATATTCTAGTGGAATCAAGGGCACCATACCAAGTCAAACTGGCAACTTGACCAATTTGATATTGCTTGCTCTACAATCGAATCAGTTGACTGGAGGCATCCCAGCAGCATTCAAAGATCTACAAAACATGCAAACTTTGGGTATGGAAGATAATAATCTAAATGGCACTTTAGAAAACCTTTGCAATTTGCAGAGGTTGGCTTATGTATACCTGAGTGCGAACCGATTTTCCGGGTCCATACCAGGATGCTTTGGCAATATGACTTCTCTTCGGAAACTTGATCTAGGAAACAACTTTTTAGTCTCTGCCATACCTAATAGTTTTTGGAACCTCAAAGATCTCTTGCAGTTGAACTTATCCTCAAACTCCCTGAATGGTTCCTTGCCTCTTGAAGTTGGAAATTTGAAAGCTATTACATCTATAGACGTATCAGCGAATCAATTCTCCGGTGACATTCCCAGCACAACAGGTGATTTGCAATACCTGTTGATTTTAAATTTATCCCAAAACCAATTTCATGGATCTATCCCAGAGTCATTTGGCAATATGCTCAGCTTACAAGGACTTCACTTATCGCATAACAATCTTTCTGGCTTCATACCGAAGTCATTGGAGGCACTTCGGGACCTCAACGAGCTTGACGTTTCTTATAACCATTTAAGTGGTGAAATTCTTTCTGGTGGTCACTTTAGGAACTTTACTGCTGAATCTTTTCTGTTCAATGATGCATTGTGCGGAGATTTCAGGTTTCATGTGCCATCTTGCCCAAGAACTAATTCAATTCACAGGTCAAGAACCAAAAAGGTGCTTCTATTTGCATTTGCTCCTCTGGGACTCGCTTCTGTGGTTGTCGCAGCCTTAGCAATTGTCTTCAGAAGATATTGGAAAAAGTATGGAGATTCTAAAGGGGCAAACATGGTATTGGTGCCAATGCAAGAAAGAGTTTCGTACTATGAACTTCTTCGAGCAACTGATGGGTACAGTGAAATCAATTTGCTCGGCATTGGGAGTTTTGGATCTGTTTACAAGGGGATTCTCAATGATGGGAGGTCTATTGCTGTAAAGGTTTTCAATTTGGAATTGGAAGGAGTAATCAAGAGCTTTGATGTAGAGTGTGAAGTCCTGAAGAACCTTCGCCATCGAAATCTTGTGAAGGTCATCAGCGGTTGTTGGAACCAGGATTTTAGGGCCTTGGTGCTTGAATACATGTGCAATGGAAGCCTTGAGAAATGGCTGTATTCTGACAACTATTTCTTAGATACTCTACAGAGATTGAATATAATGATAGATGTGGCAAGTGCAGTGCAATATCTCCACGAAGAATATTCGACGCCTGTGATTCACTGTGATTTGAAGCCCAGTAATGTCTTACTTGATGAAGGTATGGTTGCCCATGTCAGCGACTTTGGTATTGCAAAAATGCTGGAAAAGGAGGAAAACTTTGCATGGACCAGGACCTTAGCTACAATTGGCTACATTGCTCCAGGTAATGATTCTTCAATCTTAATCCTAAACTTTTGTACAGCATTAAGTTTCTTTTTTCTTTTTTTTCTTATGTGACACTTGTTCAATTTGAACGTTGGTTGTAGAGTATGGATCTGAGGGGTTGATATCAGCAAAATGCGATGTTTATAGCTATGGAATCATGCTGATGGAAGTTTTTTCAAGAAGAAAGCCTAATGATGAGATGCTTGCTGGAAATTTGAACTTGAAGAGTTGGATATATGATTCTCTACCTAATTCGATTCTTCAAGTTATTGATGCTAAGTTGTTGAAGCGTGGGGATGAAAATTTCACGGAGAAGTTGGAGGGTTTTTCATCCATCATGGAATTGGCCTTAAAATGTGTTTGTGAATCTCCAAGTGAGAGAGTTAGTATGAAAGTTACGCTGGAGACACTGAAGAATATCAAACTCAAATTCTTGAGGTCGATTAATAGTTCGGATTGAATATGTAGCATCTATAATCATCCGAAATATTACGAAATAAATGCCAATCTGTTCACTTTAAATAAACCAAAAGCACATGTAATCTTTGTTAGTTCTTCATTGCATCTGTTGAACGTTTATTGTATTTTCTGCCATTATTACAGATCTGTAGGCTATTGCTCATCTTCAAAGGCCTACAGAGTCTACTCACCACAAAGCAACAAGGAATTGAAATGAAGTTGTTATGCTGTATGACTGCAAGTCGACATGTATTATTAAATTTTGGAATTTCTGAATGTGGAGGGGTCGGAATCCTCCCTGTTCAAAATCAACCTCCTGAATGTGTAGCGCTTAGTTTTCACTGATGATATGAGATTTAATTCTTTGTCAGTGTTATAATATAAACCAAAATAGGTACTTATGAACTCAGCGTCAAGTTCTCAATTTTCTCTCTCTTTCTGCAAATATTTCTTAGGGTTAGTTCTATTTGCATGGCTGCCCTTCAGCCATCGGCTGAGGGGCAAAGATCTCCTACAGGAAAAAAATCTTTCTCCCAACTATTCTCACAGCCTTCAACATCTCCTATCCATATTCGGCAGGCAGCTGTTTATAAAGGTGAAGCTGCGGTCATCTTCTCCAGAGCAGATGCGGAAAAACTGGCAGCGCCGTTTCGATGGGCTTTGGTTGGAAAATTTTCTCATGGGAGACCTTCGTTAGAGGATATTCGAAAGTTCTTTGCTTCATTAAATCTAAAAGACCACATTTCCATTGGATTGATGGATTATAGGCACGTCCTGATTAAGTGCTCTGCTGAAGTAGATTTTAATAGGATTTGGACAAGAGGGATTTGGCAATTGGGCAGTTATCCGATGCGTGTATTTCGCTGGACCAGGGAGTTTCATGTGCAAAGAGAGTCATCTCTGGTACCGGTTTGGGTGGAGCTTCCAAATTTACCCATTCATTATTTCGACAAACATTCTTTGTTCTCCATATTATCTCCAGTAGGAAGACCATTGTTCCTGGATTCGGCAACGGCTGCTGGGACACGTCCTAGTGTGGCCAGGGTGTGCGTGGAGATCGATGTAGCGAAGCCTGTTGTGAATAGGATCTGGGTAGCTGTTGAAGGTGAATCAGGTTTTTGGCAAAGAATTGTTCCAGACAACATGCCACCATATTGTTCATCTTGCTGGCGATTGGGTCATTCGTCTAGCAACTGCAAGAATAACTTTTCCAAGGGAGAATTCCAATATCCCAATCATCAAACAACCTGGCTGAAGCATGGTTCTAAGATACTTGGGACCAAACCAAATGGGTTAGTTAATACACAGGCGGACATCCCAGAAGCTAAAGGGAAATCAACAATGGAGGTCATGACATCGACTGAAGCTGAGCCAGATGTTGCTGTTGCAACCGAAGGACCTTCAACATCTGAAATGGAAAAATCTGGTGGACCTGATCGGATAGCTGAGAAAGATAATACAACACTTCCACAAGATGAAAAGCTCAACTGCATTTCTGTCCAAGCTCAAGCTGCCGAAGTTTCTGTTGCTGATGCAAATGGACAGTCGGTGGTTGATGATGACAGGGAGGGATCACTGCACAATGTTCAGCAGCAAATCTTGACTCAAGACCATGTGCTTAATTGTGAAGGGTCCCATAATCTAGTGGAGCAAATCTTGGGAGATGTTCAGCAGCAAATGGTCGACACTTCCACATTGATAAATCACAATGCCGACAATGCTAATTGGACCAAATGTGTAGGGTCCCAATCTGTTGAGGAGAAGCATTTGGGAGGTAAACATCTTCAAAAGGCCGACACCACCGACCTGGAAAGTCTTTATGTTGATTTGCGTGGGGTCGAGGAGGAAGATCCCAAATCCGATGCGGTTGATGAGGTAGCTTTGCCAATTATAGCAGGGAATTTATCTCCACGATTGGTGGTAACAAGTGAGAGGTTGGTGGAGCCATCAATTAACTCACTAAACATTGACCAATCTGTAGCTATGGAGAGGGCATGCCGACAAGAGAAGGTTAAAGGTGTGCGAGCTTTCTTCCCATCCGACAGACAGCTACGTTCGGCAACATCTTCTCAAAACTCATTCCAGGTTTTTTCTCATGATTAATGGAATATTTTGGAATATTAGAGGGGTAGCTAAAGCTCCTAATCTAAGAAGGTTGATTAAACTAGTACGTACTTACCATGTTCAGTTTGTCGTCATTTGTGAACCAAAGCTACATGAGTACAAAATTGAGTCCATTCGTCTACGATTATTATTTGATTATACCTTTGTTAATCTCTCGGGTGATATTTGGATATTCTATAGTAGTCCTTTCATATGTTCCATTGTGGGTAGTTCGGAGCAGCATATTTCTATACATGTCCAAAGTCAATTGTTTTCTACTCCAATCGTCATGTCCTTTGTTCATGCTAAGTGCTCAGTGGAGGAGCGCCGTGCCTTATGGAATGCCTTATTAAAGGATAAGCCAATTTCTCTTCCTTGGTGTATTGGAGGTGATTTTAATGTTATATTAGCACCTCATGAAAAACGAGGGGGACGCCCATTTGCTATAGCGGAGGGGATGGAATTCATGTCTTTTATGGAAGATGCCGGAGTCTTTGATGTAGGATTTTCAGGAGCTAACTTCACGTGGTCTAATAATCGGAGAGGAAGAGCTCGGGTTTCAAAGAGGTTGGATAGGTTTTTAGTCAATGGGGCTTGCTTGGATATCTCAAACGTAATTTCTGTGCTTCACCTAGCTAGACACCCTTCAGACCATGCACCGCTGAAAATTTCATTTACTGACCGCTCAGATCATACCCCATGCCCTTTCCGATTTTTGAATGTCTGGACAACCAAACCCGAACTCTTGGAGGTAATTCGCCATGCTTGGAACCAAGATGTGGGTGGTTCTCCATTGCGTGTTTTGTGCTCTAAATTATTGGCAACGAGGAGGGCAATTCAAACTTGGAACAAACAACACTTTGGGAATGTATTTGATGCTGTTCGTTCCGCAGAATCGGGGGTCCAACGCGCAGAGGAAGCTATGGATCAATATGTATCGGAGGAATGCCAAATAGAGCTTAGCAAGGCTCAGGCAGAGTTGCGGCATGCATTGTCAATTGAAGAGCAATTTTGGAGCCAAAAGGCCAGAGTCAAATGGCTTAAACATGGAGATCGTAATTCAAGGTATTTTCATGCGGTTGTAAGACAGAGACGTGCTTACCAAATGATACACCGCATCAAAAAGTCAAACGGTGTTTGGGTGGACACGAATGATGATATAGCAACTGAGGCAATAACATATTTCTCTGACCTTTTCACGGGCTCTTCGGAATCTTCTTCTGATATGCAGCACCTAATCCCAACCATAATCTCAGAAGAGGACAATGAAAAATTGGAAAAAGTTCCTTCGATTGAAGAAGTCTATCGAGTCGTGAGCTCAATGGATGGGGACAGTGCTGCTGGCCCAGATGGTTTTACAGGCAAATTTTTTACATTTGCCTGGGAAGTTATCGCTCAAGATGTATATAATGCAATACTCAGCTTTTTCTGTGGGGCAGAGTTGCCTCGATTCATCACATCCACTTCCATTGTGTTAATTCCGAAAATACCAAATCCTCAGGATTTTTCTCAATATAGGCCCATCAGTTTGTGCAACTTCTTCAACAAATTATTATCCAGGATCTTAGCTGATAGAGTTGCTTATGTATTGCCCAAAATTATTTCACCCCAGCAGACAGGCTTTGTGAAGGGGCGTAATATAACAGAAAACTTTCTGCTAGCTCAGGAGATAGTTTCGGGTATTGGAAAAAAGAATAGAGGAGGCAATGTGGTAATGAAGCTTGACATGTCTAAGGCATATGATCGGGTGGCATGGAATCATATTATTGGTGTTCTCAGGAGGTTTGGCTTCGGAGAAATTTTTATTGATTTAGTATGGAGATTGATCTCTAATGTCTGGTTGTCGGTCATTATAAATGGGGCATCTCACGGTTTCTTTAAATCTATGAGAGGACTTCGTCAGGGTGATCCTTTATCGCCTGCATTATTCATTATAGGGGCTGAGGTGTTATCTAGAGGATTGAATAATTTCGTCATGCAATCGGGATTTGTGGGATTCAAAGTCCCGTATGGATGTCCTGCTATAACTCATTTAGCGTTTGCGGATGATGTTCTCATATTTGCAAACGGATCCTCTAATTCTCTGAAGGTAATCATGCAGGTGCTAGAGGCTTATCAAAGGTGTTCGGGACAGCTTATAAATGTGCTAAAAAGTTGCTACCTAGTTCATCCATCCTTATCACCGGCAAGACGAAGGGTGATTGAACGCACTACTAAGTTTACCTGGCAATCATTTCCAATTCGATATTTGGGTTTTCCGCTTTATTTTGGGAGAGGCAAATCAACATACTTTGGAGAAGCGTGTCAGTCTATTCTAGGGAGAATCATATCCTGGAAATCAAGGATGCTTTCATTTGGAGGTAAAATAGTTCTTATCAAACATGTCTTGGCATCGATGCCAGTACATCTGATGTCGGCTGCGATTATCCCGAGTAAGGTATTTAGAACTATAGAAAAGGCTTTCTCGACCTTCATATGGGGATCATCATCCGAGGATGCAAAATTTCACTGGATACGTTGGTCCCAAATGTGTTATCCGGTTGATGAGGGAGGGGTTGGATTTCGGAAGCTACAAGATATCTATACAGCTTTCTCATTCAAACTATGGTGGAATTTTAGAAAAGGTTTGTCATTGTGGGCTGAATTCATGAAGGCAAAATACTGTAGACATCTCCATCCTTGTCAGGTTGAAATCAAGGCAATGGACTCCGCACTCTGGCGAAGGATGATCAATGTGAGTCGACAAGTGGAACTCTCAATGCTATGGATTGCCAAAGACGGAGCTTGTCATTTTTGGTACGATAATTGGTTGGGAGGTGGTGCTTTGTTCCACCGAGCGACCGTTGTTCCTAATTTGTCTTTTGGTAATTTCATCATCAATGGACACTGGGATGTTAATTTGTTCTACCAGACACTGCCAATGGAAATGGTGCCCTCTATTTTAAATCACTCAATTCCAGAAGAAGGGGGGGAATCTGAAGTCATTTGGATGCCCACAACATCTGGAAACTTCTCTATAGCTTCGGCATTTCGGGATATTAGGCAAGCCCGCAACAAGTCTATGGTATTTGATACAATTGGCTTCCTCAGCTCCCTTTCAAAATTTCATTCTTCATGTTGCGATTGTTGCTGGGGAGACTGCCGGTTCCAGATAGGTTATGCAAACTTGGTTTACATTTACCCTCAAAGTGTTTTTGCTGCTCTTCGGC